AGTTCACGAGCCCTCATTCATGGATTCATCCAAAGCTCGTGACTTGAGACACCATCTCACCAACGAGAACCTCAACTTCAAGGAGGTTCTTGGGTGGATCGAAACTTGAAGAGAAACTGTCTGGCTCACGACGTTAAAGAAGCGCTTGTTGGGAGGCAACCCAACCACCATCGGTTTGTTTCCTTTTGGCTTCAATAAGTCGGCCTTTTGTTTTGTCGCATCCTCGCTCTTCCGGATCTCACCCGCCCTCCGCTCCCGAACACCAACATTCACCATTATCCGGTAACATCGTTCTACCTCCTTATTTTACGCCATTGAGGGCAATGTCGAGTTTAAGTGTGAGGGGTAGTCCATTATGCATGTGTGTGTAAATTTTTGGTGTGATTTTGAATGCTTGTATCCTAGTTGTATGCCCAAATTTTTAAAATTTGAGGGCTCCAAGCATAGCAACTTCTACATTTGCATGACCGTAGTGGCACATGTGTTGTTTTGTTTTAAATCTCGTGGTTATTAGCATTGTCTATGGATGATTTTCTTGTTATTATGTGCAACCTATGATGATGATTGAGACATTTATTAGGTTTATGCATAGGTTCATTTCTCATATGTTTGTGAGCCGATAGATATTTTGAATCGATTACTTGCTTTTCACAGTTGCCTATGCATCGAGTTTAGGGAGTTAGAACGAATGATTGAGCACCTAGGTAGCCATGTGAGACTTGTGTCATTCGTTTCGTTCTTCTATGATAGATCCCCCTTTACATGATGTGTAGCATTCACGCTGTTGCTAGCAAGGAAGATGGAGGCATAGGATTAGTCCACGACCCAAATGTTGACCGACCCGATCATATCATCCCTTAGTCAACCCCTTTGAGCCATTTGTCTAAGGATCGTTCTCGTGTTAGGTAGCTCACGCTACTTGAGCTTGATTGATTTAGATAGAGCGACCCTACTTTCTTTGTGTCTACACCATTGTCCAGTCACCCTTGTGTTTGGAAGCTCCATTCATACCATTTAAGCTTAGATGAGGTTCCACATGAGTGATTTGTGTATGGTTTTGCTAAGAATGTGAAGTGAGTGAGGAGGTAGGTTTTAAAAGTGAGCACTGTTCCTTAAGTTAAAAAAAATGTAGCATGTGTATATAGGTCTCTATAGCCCCCAAAGAAAAGAGAAAAGCAAAATAAAAAGAAAAAAAAAAGAGAACAATAAGAGGGAAAAGAAGAAAAGAGAGTGGCCACCAAAAATATAATAAATGTTGAACATGCTCTTAGAAATGTTGCTTAGCATGCAAGCTTTGGGAACACTTACATGGTGTTTGCCTACCATACTCATGTGCTTGAAATTGACTAGCAAATGTTAAAGAAAGTATTTGCGACTTGGTTTTGTGATTGGTTGTGGTATGGAATTGAGGAAGTGTGGTTTTTGGCCGATGTTAGTGGCCATTGAGTATAGGAGAGGGTACTAATCGAAAACTTAGAACCCTTTTGCGGTTTTAGGTCGAAGATGTGGAACCTCAAGTTATGTTTGCCATCACTCAAAAATCCTTTTCCCCATGTCCTAGACCCTAGCCAGTCATTTGAACCTGTGTCTAAGACCTCCATACAAGCTAGCAACGACACCATCTTGTGAGCTCTAGCATTTAGAGGCTACCATCATGGTAAAGGGATGTTAGGATTGAGCGTGAATATGCACATCTTTTGCATCAAATGGTACTGATTCCTGACCCCACTGGTCGAGAGTGAGTGATTCATTCATCATGTTTTGTTCATTTCTTCTACCCCGGTGAGGACTTAGGTTGCTCATCGTTCGTTCCTATGATGTGATCTTCATGCATGAGTAACTGTGATTGGTGAGTCGTCGAGGCATGTTGTGTGTGGGTTCGTGAATAATGTGAGAACTCTTTTTTTGCACAATCTTAATACAATTGAATGTCGTTTGTGGTGGTTGCCATGAATACTTTGTTTTTATCCATAGGTCGGTGTCAAATAACCATTGTGATTCATTCGTTTTGTGCCCTATGAAATGCCTCAAAAATTTTGTTCAAAAAGAGAAGTTGCAAGCTTACCTTGTTTTGTACTTGGTTTGCTTGGGGACAAGCAAACGTTCAAGTGGGGGGGAGTGATTCGGGTCCAATTGTACACATTTTACCCCTCATTTCTTGATAGTTTGGCTTTGCATTTCATCATCCCTCGACATATTTCACTCTAGGTTGTGCTTGTTTTGATAAATTTCAGGTCCTAACACGTGTGGAAGGTCGAGGACGAGTTTCGGGACGATTGAAGGTAAAAAAAAGTGCAAAAACCAAAGAAAAGTCCAAAGTCCCCGTGACAGTGAAGTGCAGGCGTCCAGGAACCAGCCGCAGTTCACGGTCAGAGCTGCGAGTTCACGGTCGCCAGGACCTTGAACTGGGACCACAAGCCGTGAACAACGAGGCGTCCAGGGAGGTTCCAGAGGTTACTGACGACAAGGCAGTTCACAGTCACTATGACCATGAACTTTGAGCACAAATCGTGAACCCCGAAAAGTGAAGCAGTGCGTTTTGGCCACGACACCGAGTTCACGGACGCGTTTAGGTGTTCGCGGCCGTGAACTGGAAGGCCGTGACCTGGGCGTGATCTTAGTATAAATGGAGAGTTGAAAGGAAGAAGAAAGGGGAGCTTCATTTTTAGGTTAGGTTTGCATTTTCAGAATAAAGAGGATTCGGTGAGAGGTTCGGGTTTCTTCTAGAGTGAGAAAGTGCTAATCAAAGGAGGAAGAAGGAGCTTTGGGCTTGTTCCTAGCTAGAGGATTGAAGATTTTTTCATCTCAAGGGTGTCTCAAGCAACAAGGAGGATAGATTAGCATCACTTCATGGTTCTTTCTTCCCCTTTTGTTGTTTTCTCTTGTTTAGCTATGGAATAGCCTGCTTACTCACTTGGGTATTGTGAATCCTAATCTCTTTAGTGTTAGGATGTAAGAACATGAACCTATTGTGTTGACTGAATGTTTATATGGTATTTGAGGTATTATTCATGAATGATTGAGTGTGCTAGCTTTAACTCAATATTGGGTAAAATTGACCTAGAGGGTGGAAATCCCCTTTTGGTCCAAAAGGAAGCTAGACTTCTTAGCCACTTGGGTAACCTCCTTTAGGTCGATTTAAGAGCAAAATTGCAAGTATCGGAGTAGGGTCGTGATTCCATCGGGATTAGTCTCTTCGCCAACCGGATTAAGTTCCAAGGGTTTGGGTTGCAATTCTTAGTCGGCTAATTGAGGGTTATGTTTCCTAGCCTATCATTGTCACCCTTAGCCGAAGGGTTAAGTGAGTTAGCTTTCTAACTTGTTGAAACGACTCTCAATTAGCTAACTAATAGAGTTAGGGATTTCCTTGGTTGATCGGTAAAAAGGGCTAGGCTCTCTAGCTAGCTATGAATCACAATCCTTGACCTAACGGTTAAGAGAGCTAGTTCCCCTAGCTTATATTTGTTGATTTTCCTTCATTGATCGACTAAGGGAGTTTGTCCCTAGCTAGTTGCGCCTACCTCGCGGTGTATGAGCATGTCCTTCACACTAGATCTCTGTTTGTCGCTTCTTAGCATGAGACTAGGGGGAGCAATACCCAGGTGAAGTCCCCTCAAGTAGAATTCTCCTCAATTTACTTTCCTGGTCTGTTCATTTTGTAGTTTTCTTAGTTTTAAACCCAAAAAAAAAAAATGTTTGCTAGATAGAAACTTAAGCGATTGAAGTAGGGGTACATGGACCTGCCCGGGTTGACAATTTAAATACTTTCCCTATACTGCACCGGCTAGAGTTTAAAAACTTGGGCTCTAGTCGGGATTAATTCGTGGTGTAGTTTCGTGCGAGTTAGTGATCCCCAAGGGAGTTGATTCGATTGATCTCCTAACGATATAGGGTTGTCTTAGGTTGAATAGAGCACTACCCATCCATCACTTGGCCGTTCTGAGTCAATCCTAAGTGAGTCGATCTCCTAACGATGGTCGGTGGGGTAGTGAGTCGATCGAGCTAGGATAGTACGCAACATCAATCCAAATGATAAAACTAGGGGGAATCAAACCTAAGAGAACTCCACAACTTGTAATTAGCTAGGTTAGTTAGTTTAGTTTTCCTAATCACTATTCTAGGTTGGCTAGATAATGAAACCTAACCCGAAGTACGGTACACCTAGGAGACCCGTGGTTTGATATTTTTATTGCTTGTTTACCCTTTGCTACACCTGTTCGTCGGTTATACTTGGGTGTCGATTGGGATGTGTAGTTAGAGTCGAGCCCCCAATCCACCAATCCATCCACTTAAATATCCAACTAATCAAATCCATTTAATCAAAATCCAATTGGATTGATCCACGGATCCAAATGACATATTACAGTTTAGTACTGTACTTTTTATATTTATATTTTGGTACCTAAATTTTTTTATACAAAAAATGTCTTTGGAAAATTATATTTTTTACTTAATTTTTTATTATAACAATTTAGTACCTAAACTTTTCAAAATTTACATATTAGTTTAAGCGTTGGATGTTTTTTGGATCCATAGATCAATTCACCAATTTATGTAATACAATCAATAAAATCACCAATCCATTTAATCTATGAATCAATCATTCTAATTGACCAATCAATGAATCCAATTCATTCACCACTTCCATATCCTACTCCACGTCCCAAACTAAAGGTTGATGCTATTCCAAGCATAAGCCCACTCATAAGTGGACCGGCGCTTGGTTCACAAGACGAGCATAACACATGTTTGTGGGCTTCGTACTGAAGTGGCCATGTTTCGTCTAGCATAACATGTAGTCAGGCGCCCTGCTTCAGTATTCTACTTTTCGTGTGTTTACTGTTTATATGGGTTTGCGTAACTCAATCGTTTGAAATGTTCATACTATCATATTTTTATTACAATTATTTTATATATTTGGATTGGAAGTGCTACACTTGTCGAGCCCAAAATATCGGTGGCGGTGGGTCAGCATCTTAGTTTTGTTTCTTTCTCGTCCAAACGAGTCGTGCAAGCAACCGCCCGGATGAAAAACGCGAGCTTGAAATAGAAGTTCAAGCTGTTCCCACCCGATCCAGAATTCGTTTGATCGGTGCAGGGAAGCTTCTCGTTCACAAATTTGGTTGGTAAAGTTTCTAGCCTAACCTCACCTCACCTCATAAACCTTTTGAGCTGAATTCCAGTTGTTTTGTTTGAGTTTGTTGCCTCTGAATTTTTCTTTCTGGGTCTACTCTGGTTTGAGCTTCTTGCTGTTGGCTTGGGGCATCTGGAGAACCTCAGAAGCTGGTAATTGCTTTAGATTTACGTCAGTTTGTGGATTTTGTGCATACAAGGCCGGTTTAATTTGGTGTCTGAAGTAGAACGAGTGGTAATTGCATCTTTTTCCTATGAGAACTCTCTCTCCCCCCCCCTTTTCTTCTCCTTTAGCCTGCTTCGATACTCTTGTTGATCTGGGTCAACTAGTTCCATGGATTGTTCGCTTCTCACTTGATTTTGCTGATCACTGCAGGCATAAAATCTTTCCGAGCATGGAAGTTGTTCTCTATAGCACTACCCCTCGGTGTCATTCGGTAAACTTGAGGTGGCAACTGGTTCATGGAGGCTCAAATTCATGCCAATCAGAGATTCATCCTTGTAGAACGCCTAGAATTTCACTTCCTAAGCTGCATCACCGAGGTGTGTTTTCGACATCTTCTAATCAGTTTGTAGGACCCCAAGGTTATCACAGGGAAAAGGCTAGGTCACTCACTACTTTTGGCGGGTCAAACAAGGCTAATTCAGAACTTCTGAGTGGAAGGACCAGTAGTTATGTGGCTGGAGAGGATGAACTGGGTAGCATTTCAGCAAGTCAAGAATCAGTGGGTAAAGTCTTGATCCCGGGTTTGCCAGATGAACCTAATGGTGCTTCAATTAGTAGTTGCATTTGGGAATGGAAACCTAAACTGAATGTGCATTACGAGAGAGCTGGTTCTGAGAATCTGGAATCGCCCCAAGTGCTCTTTCTTCCTGGTTTTGGTGTGGGTTCCTTCCATTATGAGAAGCAATTGAAGGATTTGGGTCGCCAGTACAGGGTCTGGGCTCTTGATTTCCTGGGGCAGGGATTGTCACTGCCTGTAGAGAATCCCACGTCACTCTTGGGGGAAGACGACTCTTCTGTAACGAAGGATTCCATGTGGGGATTCGGAGATGAAGCTGAACCCTGGGCCAGTGAGCTTGTTTATTCTATAGATCTGTGGCGGGATCAGGTTCGCTATTTCGTGGAAGAGGTAATTTAGTACTTCTCATTGCTCATCCCAACCTGTGCCAACCAGTGGTTTCCCCTTTCTTTCTCATCTAATGCTGCTTAAGGATTATGGAATTGTTTCTGGAGATATGACGTACAATGTGATTCATACACGGGGAAACGCAATACTTCAACAGAATCGCTCCATGGCTGCTGTTCCGCCAGATCCATTTTATATGTTTCAGTCGAAGTACCCTTTGCTTATAATAATGTGGACCTTTAGTTACCTGTCCCTGGTCAATCTGTTTCAGGTAATTGGTGAACCTGTTTATGTTGTGGGAAACTCGTTAGGAGGATATGTTGCCCTATACTTTTCTGCAACACACCCTGAGTTGGTGAAGGGTGTGACATTGCTTAATGCTACTCCTTTTTGGGGATTCTTACCAAATCCTATTGCTTCTCCACGATTAGCAAGGGTGATTCCATGGTCTGGCACGTTTCCTCTGCCTGCAAGGGTGAAAAGGATTATGGAGTTCTTGTGAGTTTTCCAGTAATCGACAAATGTGATCGCTATCTCCACTTCTTATCAATCTATTAACTTCCTACCATCATAAATTCTTGCAGATGGCAGAAAATAAGCGATCCAAGAAGTATTGCGGAGATACTTAAACAAGTTTATGCTGATCATTCAACTGATGTTGACAATGTATTTTCACATATCGTTGAGGTAACTGAACATCCTGCAGCTGCTGCAGCATTTACCTCGATTATGTTTGCTCCTCGGGGAGAATTATCCTTCATGGAGGCACTAGCTAGGTAGGTCTTGTGAAATGATAAATAAATTTGCTGCATTAAATATATACAGACTTTTGTTTTCGGCATCGCCCTAGTTCTCGTGAATTGATCATGAACTTCTTTGTCCCTCCAGAAGCAGAATGAGTAATGTGCCCATCTGTCTAGTGTATGGAAGAGAAGATCCTTGGGTGAAGCCTATCTGGGGCCTTCTTGTGAAACGGCAGGTTCCTGAAGCTCCATACTATGAGATTAGCCCAGCCGGCCACTGCCCACACGACGAAGTTCCTGAGGTATAGCATCCTGTTAGAACAACGGTTTCATCTCTGGTTTAATAGCAAGCAAATGTGCTACGAGACTTGCTGCTGTCCCTATCTTCAGATAGCATGCATGTGCAAGGGTTATGCATTGGGTTTGTTCTTAGTTCCCTCGTCTTCCTTTCCTATTATGTGATTTGATTGCTGGTGTCCATAAGTGCAGGTTGTGAACTACTTACTACGGGGATGGATAAAGAACCTGGAATCAAGTGGTTCATTTGCTTTGCCTCTGCTTGATGACGGACAAACTGTCCAGACCAACACTGCCAAACGATTGGAGTTTGCGAGAAAAGGATCAAAGAAATCGGTAACGGTGCAGTTTGTCGGCTCTGGGCTCACCTTCTGGGAACAAATGAAGTTTCATATAACATCTCGACTTGGGAAGTTGAAACTAATATAATGAGAGAAACCAGTTGTATTAATATAATTATGTAGATTATAGAATCATGTACGAGAAGAAAAATGTATAGATTGTAGAAATTGTTAGAATTAAACTTTAGCTTATGTAATTTTCTGGAATCTCATCTTGCTAGATTATCAAAGGGAAATAGAAATACCTGGATCCGTGTCGATTGATCGCCAAGAACTTGATACGGAATTTGAAAGATGATCTGGAACTCGATGAAACTCCTAGAGCACGATCCAGGAGGTACTGTGATCTTCCTCAACCAAGTCTCCATAGTTCCTTTACGGGAGAGCTCTCGTCTTCTTGATGGGGAGAAAACAAGAATATGTTTTGGTCTTGATGTCTCGGGTACCAAAAATTTTAGCACCTTTAAATACAAGTTTCACATGGGTTCCCATAAAACTCAAGGTGAACAAGTATGTGCGCTTTCACCCATTGGACCTATATTGGGTTTAAGCAGTCCTGGGCTTGACAAAATTTATCACTTAAAATAGCCCATCAAAATCAAATACTCAATATAATGTTTGTGAATGGATAGTCCACTTAAGATAGAAATAAAATTCCTAACAATCTCCCACTTGGATTGTCTAATTGCACAAACACTTATATTACAAAATTCTTTAGGCGCGCAATGATAGAACTCTATCTCTAGGGTTCTATCGATAGTGTTGGTTGATTGGGAATTTAGGGATTTGATGATAGAATTGGGGATTGGGATTGAGAATTGAGAGGATTGGGAATTTGGGGAAGAAGAAAAATAGAAGATAGAATCGGCCGAAGCCTTAGAGGGCTAGAGAACGAGAAATTAGGAGATAGAGGATTAGGGTTTTGGGAGAGATACTGTTCTGAATAATTGTTCTTGCTTGATTGATAATAAAACGCAAAGTACATATTTATAGGGAAAGATAGGAAAACCTAATAATAAGCCTAATACGACAAAAAGACTACTTACCCTAATAATAATTATCCTGGCATAAATAATAATTGAAAACCTAAGAAATAGGTTTCTATCATCCCCTTCCCCTTGAGACCAACCTTGCCCTCAAGGTTGACCGACTCGACTCACTCTTTCGCATTGCCCATGCTACCGCGCCTCCTCCATTTCTTGCGCTTCCTTTTCCTCCAATCGTTCTCGACTACTCGACTTAGCCTTCTTTCTTCGACCTCTTGGTGCGGCTCCAAAGTTGTGGTCTTCATTGCTGGTGGCCCAACCCTCGCATCTTCTAAGTATATCGTCTCCTTCGCTGTCATCATACTCCACCAACCCGGAATACTTAAAGATTCGTTCTTGTTCAAGAACCCATCCTTAAGTACCAACTCTTCAAGACCCTCAAACATTCTTCTTGGAGCTAGCCCAATCACTACCTTGGTTATTTCTCTCATTGTTTGTGGGCTATGTTCCTTTAAAAGCCCACCAGCCAAACACATAAACTCACCTTCCCATTCCTCCATGTCCATCTTTAAATCATAAGTCAGGTTGAGCTTAAGCCTTTTCTACCAACAAGGCCCACTCTCTTTTATTCTCGGCCCAAGACCATTCAAGAGAGATTTATTCAAAGGGCTCCTCTGAAGCCCAAGTACTTCTTGAAAACCCGGCCCATCATTTTCTTCAAGCTCTTCCAATCCTCCCTCGGCCCCCTCTGGCTGATCCAGCCCCGCGAACTCCAACCCACCAAAAATGAGCCTGATCCTCAACTCTGGCCCATCAGGTATTGCGGCCCGACGAACAGAGTGGCCCAAGGCTAGTACTCTAGGATTTGCAAGAACATAGGCAACTCCCAAACTCAGGTCACCCGCTGCCAGCTGCATCTTCGACACCATTCCCGGCGGCGAGCAGCGCACCAGGCGATGGGAAGTCGACTCCGCCGTCGCCGCTCCGACGGATTCCTCTCTGCCTGCGCTTCACGCCGGCGGTGGATTCCGACTCCGAGATCCGGCTTCCACTTCTTCTTCCTCTTCCTCGGCGAGTATAGAGTCCCGCCGTCGTCATCCTCGTCCTCGTTCTTCGGCGGTGCGCCATTCCACCGACGGCCAGGTGGCCGATCCGACTCCGACGCCGCTTTTCGCTCCGTCGTCGTTTCCGGCGATGGCCACTCTCCGGTAACGCTCGTCCCCGTCGAGCTCACCTCCGACGATCGCTTCTTCTTCTACTCCGTTGGCTCCACAACAGCAGATCGTGGCGTCTGCGCGATTCGGGTCGCCGTCGCGGAAACCCACCGCATTTGCTCCTCTGCTTCGCGTCCTTGGTGATAGCCAACGTCGCGATTCGCCTCCTCCGACTTCTTCCCCGACGGAGCACTCACCCGACGGCCAGGGAGCGTGCTCAACGCCACTATGCTCCTCTCCGTTTCGCCGGTCTCCGGCCTCGACTTCCTGACCTTCGTCACTGCAAGTGGAACTGCCGACAAGCGTCGCGCACCTCGCAACCATAGTGAGATGACTCGGCGACCCTTTGCTAGCCCTGCTTGGAGTCGTCGATTGGTTCCGACTCCGAGCTCCGGTTTCCACTTCTTCTTCTTCTTCCTCGGCGGGTAGAGGGTCCCGCCGTCGACGACCTCCTTCCTTCCTCGTTGTGACAAGCTGCTCCCTTCCAAGCCATCCTTGACAAGGCTTGTGGCTGCTGGGTTCTCTAGAGAAAGGGCGACCGATTGAAAGATTAGCTCACTAACGTAAATCTTGCGGGGAGCAGCGACAATTGCTGGTTGCTCGATGGTGGTGACGATGCTTGTGATTTTAGGCGCCATTGTCGTGACACTCGCAGATGGTGGCGTGGTTGTGGCCGCCTGATCTGCTTTTTCAACTGTAGCTGGGAGAATTACGGCGGAAGTTTCTGCCGCGGGTGGTGGAGATGACGCTGCAACAGTGATGGTGGGTGGCTTGATCCGCCGAGGCGAGTTTACGTGTCGTTTCAATTTCTCCACCAATAGCCGCCACTCCTCGTCTCTCTTCTTAGCATCTTGTATGCTTTTCTCCAAGATTTCCATTGCTTGCGCGCAGCTGACTTGCAAGCGGTAGATGAGTTCTGACGAACTCAGATTCGTGACCATGGCTCTGATTCCAAATGATAGAACTCTATCTCTAGGGTTCTATCGATAGTGTTGGTTGATTGGGAATTTAGGGATTTGATGATAGAATTGGGGATTGGGATTGAGAATTGAGAGGATTGGGAATTTGGGGAAGAAGAAGAATAGAAGATAGAATCGGCCGAAGCCTTAGAGGGCTGGAGAACAAGAAATTAGGAGATAGAGGATTAGGGTTTTGGGAGAGATACTGTTCTGAATAATTGTTCTTGCTTGATTGATAATAAAACACAAAGTACATATTTATAGGGAAAGATAGGAAAACCTAATAATAACCCTAATACGACTAAAAGACTACTTACCCTAATAATAATTATCCTGGCATAAATAATAATTGAAAACCTAAGAAATAGGTTTCTATCATCCCCTTCCCCTTGAGACCAACCTTGCCCTCAAGGTTGACCGACTCGACCCACTCTTTCGCATTGCCCATGCTACCGCGCCTCCTCCATTTCTTGCGCTTCCTTTTCCTCCAATCGTTCTCGACTACTCGACTTAGCCTTCTTTCTTCGACCTCTTGGTGCGGCTCCAAAGTTGTGGTCTTCATTGCTGGTGGCCCAACCCTCGCATCTTCTAAGTATATCGTCTCCTTCGCTGTCATCATACTCCACCAACCCGGAATACTTAAAGATTCGTTCTTGTTCAAGAACCCATCCTTAAGTACCAACTCTTCAAGACCCTCAAACATTCTTCTTGGAGCTAGCCCAATCACTACCTTGGTTATTTCTCTCATTGTTTGTGGGCTATGTTCCTTTAAAAGCCCACCAGCCAAACACATAAACTCACCTTCCCATTCCTCCATGTCCATCTTTAAATCATAAGTCAGGTTGAGCTTAAGCCTTTTCTACCAACAAGGCCCACTCTCTTTTATTCTCGGCCCAAGACCATTCAAGAGAGATTTATTCAAAGGGCTCCTCTGAAGCCCAAGTACTTCTTGAAAACCCGGCCCATCATTTTCTTCAAGCTCTTCCAATCCTCCCTCGGCCCCCTCTGACTGTTCCAGCCCCGCGAACTCCAACCCACCAAAAATGAGCCTGATCCTCAACTCTGGCCCATCAGGTATTGCGGCCCGACGAACAGAGTGGCCCAAGGCTAGTACTCTAGGATTTGCAAGAACAGAGGCAACTCCCAAACTCAGGTCACCCGCTGCCAGCTGCATCTTCGACACCATTCCCGGCGGCGAGTAGCGCACCAGGCGACGGGAAGTCGACTCCGCCGTCGCCGCTCCGACGGATTCCTCTCTTCCTGCGCTTCACGCCGGCGGTGGATTCCGACTCCGAGATCCAGCTTCCACTTCTTCTTCCTCTTCCTCGGCGAGTATAGAGTCCCGCCGTCGTCATCCTCGTCCTCGTTCTTCGGCGGTGCGCCATTCCACCGACGGCCAGGTGGCCGATCCGACTCCGACGCCGCTTTTCACTCCGTCGTCTTCTCCGGCGATGGCCACTCTCCGGTAACGCTCGTCCCCGTCGAGCTCACCTCCGACGATCCCTTCTTCTTCTACTCCGTTGGCTCCACAATAGCAGATCGCGGCGTCTGCGCGATTCGGGTCGCCGTCGCGGAAACCCACCGCATCTGCTCCTCTGCTTCGCGTCCTCGGTGATAGCCAACGTCGCGATTCGCCTCCTCCGACCTCTTCGCCGGCGGAGCACACACCCTACGGCTAGGGAGCGTGCTCAACGCCACTATGCTCCTCTCCGTTCCGCCGGTCTCCAGCCTCGACTTCCTGACCTTCGTCACTGCAAGTGGAACTGCCGACAAGCGTCGCGCACCTCGCAACGATAGTGAGATTACTCGGCGACCCTTTGCTGGCCCTGCTTGGAGTCGTCGATTGGTTCCGACTCCGAGCTCCGGTTTCCACTTCTTCTTCTTCTTCCTCGGCGGGTAGAGGGTCCCGCCGTCGACGACCTCCTTCCTTCCTCGTTGTGACAAGCTGCTCCCTTCCAAGCCATCCTTGACAAGGCTTGTGGCTGCTGGGTTCTCTAGAGAAAGGGCGACCGATTGAAAGATTAGCTCACTAACGTAAATCTTGCGGGGAGCAGCGACAATTGCTGGTTGCTCGATGGTGGTGACGATGCTTGTGATTTTAGGCGCCATTGTCGTGACACTCGCAGATGGTGGCGTCGTTGTGGCCGCCTGATATGCTTCTTCAACCACAGCTGGGAGAATTACGGCGGAAGTTTCTGCCGCAGGTGGTGGAGATGACGCTGCAATAGTGATGGTGGGTGGCTTGATCCGCCGAGGCGAGTTTACGTGTCGTTTCAATTTCTCCACCAATAGCCGCCACTCCTCGTCTCTCTTCTTAGCATCTTGTATGCTTTTCTCCAAGATTTCCATTGCTTGCGCGCAGCTGACTTGCAAGCGGTAGATGAGTTCTGACGAACTCAGATTCGTGACCATGGCTCTGATACCAAATGATAGAACTCTATCTCTAGGGTTCTATCGATAGTGTTGGTTGATTGGGAATTTAGGGATTTGATGATAGAATTGGGGATTGGGATTGAGAATTGAGAGGATTGGGAATTTGGGGAAGAAGAAGAATAGAAGATAGAATCGGCCGAAGCCTTAGAGGGCTGGAGAACAAGAAATTAGGAGATAGAGGATTAGGGTTTTGGGAGAGATACTGTTCTGAATAATTGTTCTTGCTTGATTGATAATAAAACACAAAGTACATATTTATAGGGAAAGATAGGAAAACCTAATAATAACCCTAATACGACTAAAAGACTACTTACCCTAATAATAATTATCCTGACATAAATAATAATTGAAAACCTAAAAAATAGGTTTCTATCACGCAACCGTATGGTATTTGTACAACAACTACTTCTTAACAATCTGGTCCACCTCATGTATCAAAAATGGAACCAACGCGGCTTTAATCACGATATGATAATGATTAAACCACCATTATCACCATACGAATACACTTAATGACATAGATAAAATATGGATGAGTGGCATGAAAATTACATGCAATGTGATCTTGAACATGCCTATTTTCAACTGGTCCAACTTTAGTCCTTATTGAGATCAACTGAAATTCCTTCACACAATGTGACCACTGTATAACTGAAGGGACTTTAAATTCCAATATACTCTAGAAAACCATCACTTTATTCTGCAAAATTGATTTAGTCATAATCTATTGAACTACTTAAATGACTCCCACTAAACCAAGGTACCATCCGGAATAACACTCATGTGAGCAATATGCTCATGAAAAAACTTTGTGTCAAACCATTGGCTAATGGATAAGCTAGCATTAGTCATTTCCTCAATGTTCAATAGAAATTGGTCTATTTTGAACTTTATCTTTAACCACTGGGAGTTTGATGTCAATATATTTGATTTCTGAAATCCGTGGTAATGATAGTGTATCACTATCAAAATATTGTCCGGTTGACCTTAATGACTTACGAAAGTCATTCTAGTGACAAAAATTTTGCAACCATAATTGGAAGTCTCAAGATATGCTTTGAACTCTACCCGACACTGAAGGGTAACCTGATGTAGAGTTTATGCTACCTTGACATCCTATAATATCAGAGTCAGAGTACTTGATGATCTCTAACAAATTTGCATGAATTCTTTTATCAACTTTAGTAAACACGTTACACGTTTGAATCCTTCTAGTGTTTCATGCATAGATCAATCAAATATCTGCCAAAAACTCTTACTAGAAATGCTTTATTGGGATGAGAATAGACTAAAGTATACATTAGTTCTTTAATGCAAATATGCATTTAAGAGATTTTGTATCTTAATTTCTTATATATAATTGGGGCACTGATTGAGACCAAAACTGTCTCCCTTAGCTACAACACATCTCCTGGTTTACTAACTTATTCTACTTGCACCTTAGGTAGAACAACCATGATGTATAAAACAGGAAAATGAATTTACTCCCACTGAACTTAAGATATACACAATCATCTCCAACATTAGTCTCTAAATCTGAATGAGCTAATAACATGATAAAAATTGTGATATCAATAATGAGATGTTTATATGAGCCACAACTGCCATTATATTCCCAAAAGAGTTTTTCAAATATACCAGAGAGAAAGTCTCTTTGAGTCAACGCTTTTCTTATGAGTAAAGCCTTTAGAGACCAACATGCCTTATATCTCTTATTGACTTCACCACATGGCATCAATCCACTTTTCATAACTATTCATGACTCGACTAATAAAAAATTGGATCATTAGTCAACCTGATGTCACGTTAATATTCTTTGAAGAATAACGATATTGTTAGCTAGAATCGTCAATCTTCCACTTTATGGATATACTTAATGACATTTCTTGAGTGTGTTGAGTTTATGTAGTAACTAGATTCCTTATGTTTCCTCCCCCAAAACTCAACATACTCAAGAAATTTCTCATTTAAAAAACTTTTTTTTTGTGGGATTATAAAACTTGTAGCTTCGAGAGTACTTTTGAGTAGCCAACAAAGTATAAGTTAATTATATCCTTTTGTCCATTATACCTTCTTGTACCTTACAAGGTATTTCCTAAGTTGGACAACCCTAAATTTGCAAAGTCCTTATTGCACATATTGGTTACATTAACTACCTTCTAGATACTCAATTTAAGGATGTACGTTGTAACCTTTATGGTTTTTATCCAAATGGAGTCTAGTAAGTAGAAATACTCCTCACCATGTCATTAAGAGTTCAACGAAACCATAACATCCTTAACTCTCTATTTATTCCTTTACTGAGAATTTGAGGTTTAGTGATTGAGTTTAGTCTTATCTCGTATCCTCCCTCCTCTTCTTTTGTGAGTATTAGTACTCACCTAAAACTTCATGGAGGAAGATAAATTAAACCAAGTGTTGAGTATGTCTTTTGACAACTCCAACTTTAGTCACTTGATTTTAATGCAAAATAAGACACGTCCAAAATATAATACACTTGTACATTTTGCCTTTACACTTTATGGATTAAATTACCCAATAGGCAGCTTACTCCGGATCCTTTTATGTTTTGGCAAAATACTGTATTATTACTTCAATGAACCTCAGAGGCATCTCAGTATAATAGCCCCACAATTATTCATCGAATAGAGCGCTTAATGATCATCATGCACATTGAATTGGATATATCTCTATTCGCTATTATTAAATATCATTGAGATTTTCCGAAGTAAAATAGGAATTGTTCCACATAAAACCTCAAGATCAATTCCTATATATCGAGAATTATTGTCTTGAATTTACTTTAAATTCTTTATATTCATCCCATTTAACAGATTTTCCGAAGTAGAATAGGAATTGTTCCACATAAAACCGCAAGATCAATTCCTATATATCGAGAATTATTGTCTTGAATTAACTTTAATTTCGACATAAATATTTAAACCAAAGCCCGAAAACTATATTGAGATAAAAGAAAGCACACATCAACCCATGTAATTAAACAAGACAAGAAAATTATTCAATTTCGAGGACCCATCATAAGATACCAAATGCAACATTAATTCTTAGTCTTCAGACAGAGAAATTAATTGCGAGCGGTACTCTTAATACAATGATCAGATACTGATAATAAGTTCTGTCAAACAACAGTCTATCTTTGGACCGACTGTTATTCACATGAACAACAACTTTATAATTATCACGTATTTACCATTAATGTGCTTGATTATTTTGGTTAAATAATGTCGTCCTTTGGGTCGAGCACTACCCACATAAAATAACCTTACACGTACATCCTTGTAATCTAAGTTAAATAATTTTTCGCAAGTAGAGGTTACTTTGGCAACAGACTGCTAAAATTAATTTAATTAAAATACTGGACAATTCTCTCATAATCACAAAATTCCAAATAAGTGATTAATTACCCTTAAGAGAGAATTACAATAATAATTTTAAATAAATGTTTACTCCATCTTAAGACACCATGCACTCCGTTAGTATTTCATCTTTGGACAAAATATGAACTTG